CCATGCCACGTGGTCTGCGGCCATTTTCCGCCCGTGCCACGTGGTCCGCGGCCAATTTTCCACCATGCCACGTGGTCTGCGGCCATTTTCCGCCCGTGCCACGTGGTCCGCGGCCATTTTTCCACCCATGCCACGTGGTCTGCGGCTATTTTCCGCCTATGCCACATGGTCCGCGGCCGTTTTTCCGCCCTGCCGCGCGTTCCACGGCCGTTTTTCTGCCCTGCCACGCGGTCCGTGGCCATTTTTCCGCCCGTGCCACGCGGTCCGCGGCCGTTTTTCCACCCTGCCGCGCGGTCCGCGGCCGTTTTTCCGCCCTGCCACGTGGTCCGCGGCTGTTTTTCCACCCTTGACGCGTGGTCCGCGGACGCCGGAACGGATTAACGGTAATTACATTGAACCTTATGGGAAGATTTGCTTTGGGTTGTGAACAAATCGGGTTGCAACCAGAGTCACGGAATGGATTAAATTCGTAACCCGAGGTACCACTGTATATGCAGAAGACCTGTCTGTGGAAAGCAGAAATATATCAATCTCTCAGGCCCGTGTTTTGAATCTTAAAACTTTCCCTTTTGTCATTTCAGGTCAATGATCTTATGGCAATTATTTTCCCAGCCTTGAGATTAAAATCAATGGTGGTGCCCCCTTGGGCAACAATAACTGCAACTAAACGTTTCTGATAACTGTTGATCAGCCCTGCACGTTGGCTTGGAGGAAGTTTAGCCCATTGTCCTTATAGAACAGCTTCAGCTCAGAGATGTTAGTGGGCTTCCTTGCATGAACTGCCCACTTCAGGTCCTTCCACAACATTTCTATAGGATTAAGGTCAGGAGATTAACTTCTCCCACCCTAGCCATGTCTGTGTGATAAATGTTAAGTCAACACTTTCATCCAGGATTAAATTGCGAATAGTAAATATTATGCCAGCACCAGATGTGGTTGATGCACAACCTTTGCTTTGGAGGGACCACCTTCACTGTCTCCTTGACATTCTTGGTCAGATTGCAGCCCAAAAGGGAAGCCAGCACCTCCTTTCCATGTAACAGCCAGGTTGCAACTTTCTAACGTATCTCTCCCACCAGTTGGTATTTAAATATTTGCTCCATTCTCTACTCTCCACCATCTCCCTAAGCAATCTCATAATGACAAGCCATAATTTAATAACATCAGCAAGATAATGCAATTCCTTTCATTAGAATCTCAGCTCTCACCCAGTCCTTTTCCAAAAAGACAAATAGGGTGCCAAGCCCAAAGGGGAATCCTCTTACATCACTCCTTCCATAGTGATCCCACCACCTCTAGGCAACCATCCTTTACACTTAGGGAGCAGATGATGCAAGCTCTATATAGAGAGGCTCCAGCAGGGTAAGTCTTCAGCAGTTATGATCCTGCAAACAATGCTGGCAGGGGCACTGGTACCTTTGCACCATTCTCCCAAGGAGTGATAATGTTATCGCAGGATGCTTAGTGGAGGGGAAACAGCACATAAGATATCCAAGAAAAAAAATGGTGACTTCAGACTTTTATCAATGGAATCAAATGCGAGAATATAGAACAACCCTAACTCATCCAACTATCTTCAGCCTCTGAGGAAATACACTGAGAGAGACTTGTAAGTATTCCCATGCTTTTAGGTACAAGTTTCAAATGGTTTTAAAACAAAAACAAAAATGAGGGAGAGAAAGCATAGGCCTTAGTTAAGGATGCAGGTTAACTGCAAACAGAATCTGTGCACATAGAAAGTTGACCACAGAAGCCAAAGCAAAGAAGGGCAAATGGAAAATAAGGTGGCAAGGGAAAGATAGGGCTGACCTTCTCACACAGCTGTCATCTCACTTTACAGCTTCTCAATATCTGGAGGGGATTTTATTAGTTTAATAAGAAATGCCTCATTTAGCAAAATGATGTACTGCATCCTTGTTCCCCAAAAACATTTACAAAAAAAGATGTTTTAAAATGAAATAAGCAAGATTTAATGGTATTTGTGAATACAGTAGAATCAGATTTGATTGTGCACCATCATATAGCATAATACCCCTGCTGGCAGACACCATCTTAGAGAGAAATGGTGCTTGCTGGCATTAGATGACTATGGAGTCAGGAGCTGTCATTTTCCTTGCCTTATAGTCTAATGAAAAGGAACTATTCAAGCATAGCGTTTGAGTTTCCTGCTCCTATATAGAAGTTTGCAATCTTAATTAAACAAACTTTCTTGTAAACTTCGATAACTATTTTCACTTGAAGTCAAGGAAAGGATACCATAATTTCAAAGAATCTAAGCACTGCATTAAATCAAGTAGCAGACAGCCACACAGTAAGTGGCAGGATCATAAACAAGAGATGAAAAGTATAAGGAGTCCGGGGTGGGGGATTTTTCACTGACTCGTCAACGCTGTATCCGGAGCAAGATTGGAACAACATGGGTATTTGCTAGCTTTACAGAAGAGAAGAAGAAAGAAGAGAACCACAAACCAGATGCTAGAGATAACTGACACTCTTGCTGGCAGTTTTATCTGAAGGTTTATAGCCAAAGAGTTCCAAAATAAAGCACAGATGGAATATAACTAGACTTCAGATCATGTAGTGATAGAAGCAATAAAGCAAAGATTCATATAGCAAATGTAAGGTTTTGCGCAAATGCACAGTGGTATTGTATTGGTGGCTGGGCCTTTTATAAAACTTTTTTTTTCACACATCATAGGCCAGGCATTGTTAGAAATTGCAGCATACCATTCTGGGTGGATTATATGTTTCATGCAACAGGGATGATTTTATTTTCTTTATATACAAAGAAACATATACTGAAGAGTAGAAAAAATAGACATTTTGATAGGTAACTTTAATCACTTGCCTTGAAAGATTTACAAAAGTGCTTGTAAGAATAAATATGCCACTGTGGACACACCAAAATTAAACTTAATCCTGTGGATTTAATTGGGCAAAGTAACATGTGCTTAAATCCTTTCCATTGAATCCGAATTCTTTAAGGTCATAATCAACCAAGTTTGAGAATTAAAATTTAGTGAATTTCTTAGCTGAAATGGAATTCCAGAATTCTACATTAAAAGCTTCCAGACTTTAGTTTTAAAAAGATACATACTAATATTCACATATCCAACATAGCCATCAGAAAGTACTGGTACATTTGATAGCAAATTGTTATAGGACTGTTTTATGAATAAAATAAATATATTATAAGTTATCATAAATAACATTTAGGGTATTGGTTTAAATCCTTCTTTCCTCCTAATCTACTTTGCAGAATTGTTGGGAAGCTTTAAGTTTTATTCCATTCTGAGCCCTCAGGAGAAAGGATGAAATATAAATACCTATAAATATTTTAGAAAAAAAATTATTCCATTCATGAACAAAACACAGCACCTTGATTTTCCCTTTGTGTGAGTGCTTGAGTGTATGTTAGAAGCCTTTTAGCACTTTTTAATAGAGTGTAAGGTTGTGCATTCACCACTAGCTCAGATTTGAACCACTCCATCTTTTTGCTTCTAGTGAATTAATGAAGTGAATGTCTAACCAGCCATCAGATTCATAAATCACCAGAAATGAGAAGGATAACACATAAAAGTCTTTTCCTTTTGTTTAGCAATTTATCATTTTGCTTGCACATTAATAAACAGAACTCCCTTGAGGTAAGCAATGGAAAGATAAATTTTTCTTCCTAATTTTCCTCAATAGTAGCCGGTAGATCATAAGTGAAAAGAGTGCGCTTGTCAAAAGCATGTACTAGTGTGGCAACTCTTTATATCCACTGCCAGTAGCAATAAATAAAGAGGATTGGTGCTCTGATAAATAATT